ACTGGACCCAGCTCTCATCCCCTCTCCAGGTGCTAGTCCTCCACTTATCTTTCCCACAGCTGGGGATGCGAATCCATCTTCAATGCCAAGGAAGGACGCCCGGCTGGCTCAGAGGGTCCTGTGAGCACTGACTCGGTCGGCTACAAGAAAGAAAACTGGAATTGAGACAAGAGTTCAGCAGCACATAGGAGATAACCCTGCAATTGGCTACTCACCCTCCCCTGAGCTGAGAGGTTCTTGGGCCACTAGCTCCGACCCCAGTCGGAGGCTGCTGCCGTCACCGTGTGCCGTACCTGGGGGAGTGAGGAAAAAAGTTACAGGGTGTTTCTGAAAGTAAGGGAGACCCCAGCACCTCCTCCCTACCTCCCTGACTCAACCCCAGTGCTCCTCCTTTGCCAAAGGCAGGCTGGATGGCACCTGCAGCTGGAAAAGGTCCAGCCTTAATTAATGAGCCTCATAGTACTACGAGATTACTCACAAGGACAGCTGAAGACCATCAAACCTAACTGGCAGGTGGCTCCAGCCCTCTGAGGCTGCACACATTCTCTGCAAAGTAAAAAAGCCAAAGACAAATGTACAGAGTGAGATACTGCCTGAAAAGATGGCTTTCCTGGGGGAGCTCCTACCTACCTCTCCTCCACAGTGACCTCTTACCAGCAGGGACCCTGAAGCATTGGATTGTCTGTTAGAAGGTGGCAGAACCCCTGGAAAACACAAGAAACAAAGCATGTGCACAGATTCACCACAACACCTGTAAAAGACCATCTACTTCTGTCCTGGAGTCAATGCTCACCTTGCTCACCTTGTTCACCGGGAGTCACCTGGATCACCTCCCCTCCAGTGCCTACAGCCTCCTGGGGCCAGGGCTCTGCAGCTGAAAACAAAGAAAAAACAAACCCAAACGACAAAATCCTTAACAGATGAAGTAAATGTGGAGCCAAAAGCCACATCTTCGTGCTGACATCAGGTGATGACCCACCTTCTTGCTCTGCTCCTCTGGCCTCTGTTCTGTTCAACTCTGCTTTACACCCTGTCCCCCGACACAGTAAAGAAACCCTAACCAAAGTCACCCAGATAGATGGGGAGAGCTAAAAGAGTGTCCCTTCTCTTCTGGCAAACCACCCAGGGTTACAGCTGCAGCCAATGATTGCAGCTGTAATGGCACAGACTATCTGGGTGAAGGAGAGGAAAACTTAGGTGGCATATCTGAAAAGTCAGTGGATGCCTTCACAGGCATTTGGGGGCTCCTGGACACTGCTTTCCTCCCATACTACCTTCAAAACACCCCTGGCAATTCCTAAGCTGGCACCCCAGCCCTCACTCCATCTCTGGACTGTAATCCCCCACTGACTACTTGCAAAGCTGGGTGTCTGTAGCCATCTTCAATACAGAGCAACTTCACCTAAGAACTAAATAACACTCATGAAAAAATGCCAAGCTGCAGCTGAGATGATCAGGAGATCCCAAAAGGTGCAAGGCTCCTAAGGAAAAGAAAAAAAGGTAAAATATTACAAAAGCAGCTTACCAGTATGGAACACAAAATTATTAAATTTAAAAGCCCTGCATTTGAGTGTAATCCTCTTCATTACCATATACAGCTCTGCTTCTTTGGATGCCAAAGCTGAGGCTTCAATAAAGCAAGAATAGCTTGAAAAGTGCCATTCAATGAAAGAAAGAGAGAGCTCTTACCCCTTTGAAGCCCAGCTGCTGAATGACCTCCCTGAGCAAAGGCTGGGGTTAATATACCCCTGACCGTGCCCACCTCCCTTCCCGTGAGGCCCCGGGGGAAGGGCAGTAGCCCAATCCCACACGGTATAAAAGCTCTGGGAGCAGCAGCACCTGAGTGGCATCTTTGACTTAAAATCAGGATGGGTGAAGAGCCTGATGAAGAAAAGGACTCGTAATGAGAGCAGGTATTGTAGTTGGTATTGGGTTTGGAGTTGGTATGGGATTAGGACGCGGGCTGGAGCAGCGCGGCGAGAGCTGGAGCGGGGCGGGCTGGACTGGCAGGGGATGGAGCGGCTCGGGGCGGCGGCTGGAGCGGCTCGGGGTGCGGGCTGGAGCGGCTCGGGGTGCGCGCTGGAGCGGCTCGGGGTGGCGGCTGGAGCGGCTCGGGGTAGGGGCTGGAGCGGCTCGGGGTGCGCGCTGGAGCGGCTCGGGGTGGCGGCTGGAGCGGCTCGGGGTAGGGGCNAAAATCAGGAGAGGAGCCTAAGAGAATAAAAATCAGGAGAGGAGCCTAAAAAAATCAAAATCAGGAGAAGAGGCTAAGAGAAATAGAACCAGGAGAAGAGCCTAAGTGAAATAAAATCAGGAGGAGAGCCTAAGTAAAATAAAATTAGGAGAAGAGACTAAGAGAATAAAAATCAGGGGAAGAGACTAAGAGAATAAAAATAAGGAGAAGAGCCTAAGAGAAATATAAGAAAGAAAAAATTAGTGGGCATTTCTAAAGCTGCAGTTCATCCCCGCTTCTCATGCTGCCTACCCGACTCATCTCCAATACCCGGACACTCCCAAAAGTTACCCGGATGGCACCTGCCATCACTAAAGCTCAGTGCCTCTTTGCTAATCATTTTAATACTCGGAGATTGCAGATGAGGACAGCTCAAGACGACCAATCTGGGTCAGTTGCCCCATCGTGAAGTGGTTCCTGCGATCACGAGGTTACTCCAAGTCAACTACGAGAAAAAAACCCATAAGCGATATGTGAGTTGTGCGGCATGGGGATCGAACCCCAGTGATCCCCCTACTCACCAGCACCGAGGCCCTGACCGGAGTCAGACACTGGGGCTCTCACCTTCCGGGATACCTGAGTGACTGAGACACAAACTGAGAAGGCATCTCTAAAGCTGCAGTGGATCCCCGCTCCTCCTGATGCCTCCCCAACTCACCTACAAGGCTCCTCTCTCTTCAGCTGCTCCCAAGACCGCCCCTGCAAATGAAATGGGCAAAAGCTCAAACACTCAGCTCTCAAACATTCAGGGATCGCTCACAAGGAAAGCCAAGAACCTCTAAACCCTAGACACTGTTTCCTACTCTACCTAGCCAGGACTCTATACACCCAAGCAGGGTATCGCAAGACCATCCTGCTCACAGACTGTACAGCCAGCGGCTCGACTGTCTGAGGGAACTGACATGCTGACCTGACACTCGGAGCCCTATTCCATCTACCCACTGATCCATGTAATAGGGCAGAGCAGTTCCAGGTTGACCCCAAGCGAGACATCCCGTACCTGTGACGACACCGACCACGTGACACAGACCGGAACTGCTCTGCCCTGCACACGTGAATCCGATGATAGAAAGTAAGCCCTTCCTTTGATGCGTCCAAATAACCTGTTCCAGGATACCCCTTGCACCGGACTAATTTCAAAAACCCCTCTAGGCGAGCCACATATTTGCCCCGACTCCCAACCCCTCTCTGGGTCTTTGCCCTGCACTTATCTTTCCGAGAGCTGGGGATGACAATCCATCTTTGATGCACAGGAGGGGCACCTGGGCTGGCTCAGACATTTCTGCCATCGTGAGACTACTAAGAGTCAACTGCGAGAAAGAAAACCAGACACCATATCTGAGTAGTGTGGCATGTGGCCCCAGCCCCCATGATCCCTCTACTCACTCTCACCAAAGCAGCTCCTTGGGTCCCTGACTCTGACCAGAGTTGGACAATGTGATGTCATCTTCTGGGATACCTGAGTGAGCCAGAGACAAAATTAGAGGGCAACTCTAAAGCTGCAGCGGATCCCCGCTCCTCCTGCTGCCTCCCCAACTCACCTCCAATGCTCATCTGCTCCCATTGGTTAGCCAGATGGCACCTGCAATCAAAAAAGCTCAATGCTTCACTGCT